GGGGGGGGGGGGTTTCCTTCCTCCATAAAAATCAACATGTGTTGTAAATAAGTGAACAATAGAGTAGTAGTGTGTGTGGATGCTCAGTAGAACTCGTTACTTGGATTGATGGTTGTAAAAAATATAGATATTATAATTAACAATTATTCTCCCAAGGCGAAGTGAWTATCGGGGAATATTTACCGAGATGTGAGTCTTCAAGCGGCGAGGTAAATATTCCTGGATATTCACTGAGGCTGAGGCAAATAGTTGTTTTAGTATAAATACAAAGGTGATTCTTTCAAAAAATGGGGAAAAAAAGAAGATAAAAGACATTTTTCTCCGGTAACAGCAACAAAGTGGCTGGAGGCCATTTTGGATTATCGCTGGAGGGAGTTATTGTGTGATAGCCTGAGTTTCTCAACCAATCGGCGTGCAGGATTTTCAATAATCACCTGTGTATTTTAACTAATTAAAATTCACCATTTCTTTGTTGAATATTATTTCAGAAATGAAGCATAGTATGGAACATCATTGTGACAAAGCTCTTGATCTCATTCTTGTCTTGGAATATTCCTGTTCTGTGACTCCACATGTTCTGRAGCAGATGCTGAAGCATTGTCAGTCAGCAATAAATATGTTATCAAAAGGCTTCGACATGAGACTAGCAATCGTAACCTATGGTAGCCACTATTCATCCCAACCAACCGAAGTGACCGCCTTTCTGACTCAAGAATTTTTGGATAAATTTGATTTTATTACACATGTTAAAGATGGAGAACAGCATGGAGGAGAAGCTGGAGGACCCTCTGGTCTAGCCGATGCACTAGCAAAAGCTAAAGAATTGGCAGGAGGACCAAATGTTCGCAAAGAAGCCACTAAATTGTGCATTCTAATAAGTAAGTAATTGATTGACAGATAAGCCATTCTGAAGTTGAGGGTAAACCTGTGTTGAGTGGCATTGCAGTGGATTGCCTAGAGGCAGCGATAAAGTAATATGTGCAATTGAAGAATTTGCCCTGCAGACCAAGATTTTTTAAAATCTTTCAAAGATATGTAGAGAAAAAATTTTACTCAAGGGATTGATGTGTGGCCCGGTTGCACTGATATAAGAAAACATTTTGCTTAAACTAAAAAATGTATATCAATCCATAAAAAAGTAAAAAGTTTACATTATAAAATAATTATTTTAATCATTATTTTATAAACTTATTGTATCCCATGAATTTTTTGGATTTTTTTTTCTTTTCAAAATGGGGTCTGTTGTTAACTTAACTCACAATTCACAATGAATTCACTATCTGTTCTCATATTCACGTCGTGTAGACTTTTTGGTTCAAGAAGTCCAAAGTGTCACTGACCTGGAATACTACAGGTGTTGCCATGGTCACGATGCCATCCAACTTTGTAATGAGCT